AGTTACATCCACTGTGCTGTTGTTGTATTAATTGTGTCTTGCCAGAAAGTGTCTTGTGTTTGTGTACTGTAGTTGTGTTCTGTGTAAAGCCACTGGGTCTCTGATGAATCAAAATTTGTTTCACGGTATGCCTGCATATATTGAAATGACGGTAAAGTTTGACTTGACCAGAATGGCTAAACAATATGTAATACTAATGAATCGATAACTTGCAACTCAGTTGAGAACTTGGGGCTCTGGAACATTGTACACAGGGATTTGTGAGAATTTATATGTGTGACTCCAAACAAGCATATATGGTTAAAATTTTAAATTCCTGTATTCATGATATTGAAGCTACTGCTTAATACCAAAACCAGTTATTGCTACTAGGTGGTATACTTAGTTGCAAGGGTTAAGTGGGTATTACACAAGCACACGATTCCCTTCGTCATTTATGAAGAGAGACCTGAATTAAAGTCTTCTGTTTCTTGCCTCCTGTTTATCCAGTAGGACAGCTGTTCAAAGCTACATTAATAGCACATAAATGGTGGAATAATATTGGAAGAAACATGAATTGTTTTATTATTTTGGTAACTCCAATGTAATCGAAGTGTAAAGTTCTAAAATACACTGATGAGTCAAAACATTATGAGCACTCTATATGAAGCAGGTAACACACTATCTCATAACAACAGTGCATGTTAAGGTCTGGGATATACACCCTAGTTCGACAGGCCTACCTGGATTACCCGGAGTAGGTGCAGGATGACCTGGTCCTACAGCTTCCCTCTCCCACTCCCTCCCCCCACAGACTCTACAGGGCCACCTCCACCCCAGCTCCTCACTGGAGAGGCCCTCACCAGCCCCCCAAGCTTGCCAAGCCATGGATGTCGAGGGGCAGGAGGAAGAGGAAGCGGCTGTTGGCAGGCTTGATGATAGCCCAACACAGCTACGATGGATGACGCGCTGACGTTGTGGGAAGAAGGGCCACAAGGACCAGGACTGTCGGAAACCCCTCCCAGAGCTGCCAGGAAATGACAACAGGGCGGTGATGTCATTTACGCCTCAAATACACTTGGCCGTCCTTGTGGGCAGCCTTGGGGGATCTGCAGAGTCCATGGCTGCCCTGCAGAATCAAGGGCCAATAATGTAGGACTGCTTATTATCTCCCTTTGCCCAGACCGGGAGTCTGCCAGGGCCTCCCAGCTGGTTGGACTCCAACTATGACACCCCTCAGATCTGTGATGGCGGAAGAGGTCCAGATACTGGGACGGCGGTGCTTGAGTTTACAAGTGGCTCACATCCTGATACTGAGTTCCTGAGTTCTGGCTTACCACCATCCAGGACACAGAGAGAAAGGACAAAGCCATGGAAGAAGTGAAGAAAGCCAAAGTTGTGTGCCTGACATCAGATATGTGGACTTCAGTCAACATGGATGCCTACCTTGCAGTGACATGCCACTACATTGATGAGAACAATAAGCTCTCAACCACTGTCCTTGGGGTCTCCAAATTTCCTGAGACACACACAGCTGAACATCTGAAGGAGGCTAAGAGTGTACTTCTGCATTCATGGGGGATAGAAAAAAAGATCACATGTTTAAGAACTGATAATGTACCCAACTTTTACAGGTTCGACACGTGCCTTGTTTTGCTCACACATTAAATTTGGTGGTGAGAAAAGCCATAGAGCAAACTCCAGCATTGAATGAATTACGTCTGCAATCAAGTCAGATAGTTGGCTTTTTCCGGTCCAGTGCCACTGCGAAGCAGAAGCTCTCAGACATTCAGGAGCGAATGGGGAAACCTGCAAGGAGACTCCTACAGGAGGTGGAAACCAGATGGAACAGCACCTATTTAATGTTTCAGCGTCTGCTGGAGCAACGTGAGGCTGTGGCAGCAGCCTTGGCCTCTCTCAACCCAACCATCACTCCTTTCAGCAGTGTTGACCAAGACACAATCAGTGAGTGTCTTCAGCTTCTAGCTGTCTTCAATGAAGCAACTGTTGAACTGTCATCGGAGAAGAGAATCTCTGCCTCAAAAATAATTCCAGTCGTCAGGTTGATTCATCACAAAGCCCATGAAAAAGGTGAGAGGTTGATAAGTCCAACTGCTTCTCATTTACATAGGAACCTACAGAGGAACTTGAGGGAAAGATGTGGAGTAGAGCCTGTGAGGATACTTGCAGTTGCAACTCTACTAGATCCTCGGTTTAAAGTTCTGGCTTTTGGATGTTCGGAAAATGCAGCCAAAGCTGTGAAGGCTTTAACATCTGAGTGCTGTGCTGTCATTCGTGCAACTTCACATACACAAACAAGTGCTTGTGCACCAACATCAACCACTACAGCACCACAGGGCAGTGAACATAACGAAGAGTGTCTCTGGGATGTATTTGACAGCAAAGTAGTTGAAACCAACAGAGGACAGTGTCACTGCAGATGCCACTGTTGAGGTTCAACGCTATATCTCTGCCCCATATCTACCTAGAGCAGAGGACCCTCTACATTACTGCACCCAACATGCCACCATATTTCCTCATCTGTTCCAGCTGGCCAAGACATATCTCTCCATTCCAGCAACATCAGTACCATGTGAGAGATTAATATTTTCCAAAGCTGGAGAGATACTGAGCAAGAGACGAAACCGTCTCAGCCCGAGCAGCATTGAACAGATTGTTTTTCTTAATAAAAATACTTAAATGTACAGAAGCACCTCCTTCTGATTCATGCCTATATGTACAGAAGCACCACATACACATACTGATAAAAATCAATTCAATTCAGGTTTATTTATACAGCGCCAATACACAACAAATGTCTTTTATGAAAAATACTACACAAAAAGTGTGAGGCCACAGAAACGCACAGGAAGACATTGCAGTTTATTGAGTGTGATGTTGTAGGATAAAATTTATTTAGCCACCAGATGTCACTGTTGTAAGTTCCGAACGTTCCAAATGATCGATTCGTTTTCTGGAACAATTGTTCTAAATGATTTGATCTCGCAAATGTTCCATTTTTGCCATCACTACCATCTATCAACAACAATGAACCACTGGGGAACTGAACAGAAGCAGGGACTTAAATAATAAGTGATAACGAGACTAACACAGGAAAACGGGGCACAGATGAAACTAATAAACTCAAAGGAACTAAAACAGGGAAACTGGTGCCTTATCCACACGTACACGGGTATTTTTTTTAAACGGTGTTTTTCCTCCTCCGTTTAAAAAAAAATCCCCGTCCACACGAACATTGTCTTCTAAAATATTTCCGTCCACATGAAACCGCTAAAATGCGCTGTCAAGAGCATGCCAAACCAACAGGCGGCATTATAACTCTAACCGTACTGCCCTGTTAGCCAATCAGAAGCCTAATTGCCAGTGCTGTTGAAAACCATGGTGCACATTCTGATGCCTGTGTTGATCAATATAATGTGAGAGTGACTCAACATTTATCTGTACACATGTCAGAAGTCCTGTCAGCAAGGTTAGCACAAGCACTATTTCGGCTAAGTCCGCCATTGTTCAAACTCACCTAATGTATACAGCAAACAGCGCACGCTCTGACGTTAAGCAAAGTGGACAACGGCACACAATCTGACGTTTCGAGCCAAAAACTCTGTTTTCCCTGTCTATATGTCGACGCTGAAAATGGAGTTTCTTAAAATCTTCACCCTGGGTGAAGTTTTGCAAAAGCTCAGTTTTCAATGACCTAAAGCGCCGTTTACGTGTGGACAAAAGCCCAAGACGTATAGAAAAAGGTAGGTTTTAAAAAATACCCGTGTACGTGTGGACAAGGCATAAGAACTAACCAAGGAAACAGAAACTAACACTGGGGAATTACAGACAGGTAAAGACAAAAGCAGGGGCACAAGGAACAAAACCAAAAACCAAATACAAAATCACTAAATACAAGAACTACTCAAGTGAAAAACTCAAATAAAACACTAAGGAGCAAAATACAAAAACAGTGGAGGTAGGATTTGAACACGGGACAAGGATCACAAGCAAACACATGCTCAATGCATTGAGCCATGTGGCCTGACAGGTAACAGAGGAGAACAAAGACTAACATGAAGAACGGGATGACCAGCACCGCCTGCTGGCCAAATGGGGAAGGGACACAGAGTGGGGCCACAGGGACTGACCCTGACACCATAAGGATATATTAGTGGTGTCGGAGAACTGCTCACGTTTTATTTGTTGATGCATCACTTGTATTTAAACTGAGCATTTTTATACCTTTAATTTAAATCAATAATGTCGCTGTGCAAGAAGGTCTTGGGTTCGATCCCCGGGTCACCCAGGGTGCCTTTCTGTGTGGAGTTTGCACGTTCTCCCCGTGCATGCGTGGGTTTCCTCCGGGTGCTCTGGTTTCCTCCCACAGTCCAAAGACATGCAGATTAGGTCAACTGGCTACTCTAAATTGCCCATAGGTGTGAATGCGAGTGTGTGTGGCTGTTTGTCGGTGTTGGCCCTGTGGTGGACTGGTGGCCTGCCCAGGGTGTACCCCACCTCTCACCCCAAATATGCTAGGATTGGCTCCAGCTTCCCTGCGACCCAGATGGATAAAGCGGTATAGATAATGGATGGATGGATGGATGTCGCTGTGACTTCATCGCTGACTACACACACATACTGTATTCAGTAGAAAAAAAAATAATCTTAGCTTGCTAGGCAAGCCCAGTTTGCGGAGTGGGATGCTAGAGGCAAACAAGGTACATAATTGATTCTCCGGGCGTGTGACGTCACTGTCATCCTCAAGACCCCCTTCTGTAATTGCCTTGATAGATAAAGGAAATTATCATTTTAAAAACTTTAGAAGAACAAGAAAACGATAGTAATCACAATTCCCAAGAATTTTACAAGTTAAAAACTCGATCTTATTAATTTATACACATTAACTCCACTTACACCATTTTATTTGCAGTTAATATTTTTTCATTGAGGTCGATCGGAGCAGCAGCCCCACCTGGTGGCGATCGATATTCCTGCGCTTCTCCTACTCGACGCTCGGCTTCTGACTGTAGCGATATTCCACGATGTTATATTGGGTGCATTATACACCTAAGTCATCATGGTAACTGTTAAAATAGGAGCTCCCTCTAGTGTGGGCTGTATTGGGATTGCGCACGGTTTCCGTTTATGTGCCTGGATCATGATTGTTCTGCGTGTATCATATCCTGCCGGCGTCATAAAAACTCCCCGAGGCTCTCCTGAAACTGTTGCGTGGTTCTTTAGGATCTGAAGTCACCACATTCCCTTATTTCCCAGCTGCCGATGACGCAACGCTTCAACTGCTCCCAGGTCGATCACAATGTACTGGGACTCGCTCCCCCTGTGCGAGTAAAAGGTCATACCGACTCGTATGATCACCAAGGTAACTAATGAACAGTGTGATAAAAAAATGTCTGCTTAAGCCTTTGTGCTTACCATGTTAGTAAAGTTAAATAGAGTATGCCAATACTTGTTCAGTGCTGTTAATTAAGTTTAGTTGACTGAGATACCAGTAATAATTTAATGAAGTAGGCTAGATCCTATAAACAGAAACTACGTTATACATTTAAGTATATAATATTCACTGGTTAGCATAATGATTATTTTGGGTACTTGGAGGCTCTGAAATAGTATTTAGTATTTGTAAAGTGTTACCCTTAAACTTACTTGTCCGCATTTGAATAACTGATGTTAACTAACCAGCGGCACCATTCGTGTTTAACGCTATCCAGAATGTGCAACTAAAAACAGAAAAGGAAGCAGCGAGCACGATGGAGATTTAATTTTTTTACCTTTTAATGAAACGATTCTCGTGTTAGATTGTGTAGGGTGAATGGCGAGCTATTCCTATAACCATGTAGGTAGCCGTAATATGCCTTGAAGCAATATTGAGTTGTTTGCTGCTTATTACACTCGAAAGGAGTTATAGTTGTCACGTTGCACATATATTCACGTAGGGGACACTAATGTCGCTCAGCCCTCTAAACTCCGATATTGTTGATCATCGACTTGTGATCAGGAAGCACAGATCTAGAGCAACATGAACTGCCAGCCGAGTGTCCGGAATATCGATTACCAGTATACCAGACAGCGAGCATGTCGAAGTATTGCAAAATACACCGCTGATTGATGGGGGTAGATCCATTCTCACAATGTAACACATAATGCCTTGATTAAACACGTCACACTACATCTCTTGCTGAATTCAAAACGCGGAAATAAATTCTTTAGCTGAGCCTTAAATCAGAAGAGTCTTATCAAAAAAATAACGTTACTCATTTGAAGCATGATGTCATTATCTATTCATTTGTTTATTTTCTATATTTTAAATAATTACTATGGTTAAGAGTTGCTGTGATCTTCCCTTTCATTTTAAGCACAGAGTGTTATCAATCAATCAAAATCAAAGCCGGGGTGTGACATCGCCCTTTTGCAAGGCAACCGCAGTTGCACGTAGACACACACACAGAAAATACATAACAATGGGTGTAATCTATTGTTAACTGTGTATTTTTAAAAAAGTGGAAGGAATCGACTGGAGCAAACATCACAGTCATATTTGATTGGCCACTTTATTTTCTCAAGTTGCCACTTAAAGGTATATGTGATTGATAATGCAGTCTGCTCTTCCAAACGGAAAATCATGCAGCTGCAACTGAATACATATTATTCAGTCCGAGTTGCTGTATGCCTTGGTGTTAGAATAGATAATTGAAGTGATTTTTTTTTTTGTTAATATAAAGTTTTTATTGGGAGAGTATTATATACATACATCCATCGTCGCACATATTCACCCATAAACTCCTCCCTTTATAATAGACAAATAACCAATAATAAAATAAAAGGAGCATTAAAAAAGGAAAGAAAAAAAACAAAGGATCATAACAGAGAGATAACTCCATATGCACTAAACAAAAATCTGTTTTACATTTGACACAGAACAATATATATATATATAATTTTGAACATGTATTTGTCCCTCTGTTCAGTAATATTCTTTGGTATATTTCCCAAATAAAGAGCATCAAATCTGTAAGGCACTTGAAGTGTCAGTATCCTCTCAAGAGCTTTATGAATTTCTTGCCAAAAGTATCGAATAGCTTGACAATTCCAAAAAACATGGTAGTGGTTAGCATTTACTGTAGTTCACCACATTGTCTCCAACACATTTAACCACTTGAAAAATGTTTATCCTGGGATGGAGTAATGAAGAACCTCACTAGGTCTCTTCAACAAAACTCTTTCCAATTATTAGATAGAGTTGATTCCCACTGAATAATGCAAATGTTTTCCCATGTAGCCTCAGATATATGTAGATTACTCTCCTGTTCCCATTTTTCTTTAATATACCGTGTGGACTCTATTTTACAGGCCATAAGGGCATTATACAATTTTGGCACAATTTTTGTACAGTTGTGCGAATCATATGCTGAATAGAAGGGTCCTAAAATACTGTTTGAATACGCTTCTATTGTATCTGACCCCTTTATTTCTTGATAAAAATAATGCTACATTTGTAAATATCTATAAAAGTCTCTTTGTTGTAATCCATATCTTTCCTTTAATGTCTGGAAATCTCTTAATTCGCCATTGATCATAATTACCCAGTATGCAGAAGTCTATTATCTAGAGTATTGGGAATAAACTTCGTATCAAAGGAGCACCATTTCAGAGTCTTTATGGGACTACTTAAATTATATTTGTTAACAACCCCATCCCATATCTTTAGAGGTAAACCAATCCATGGGTTGCCCCTATCTAAGAGTCGACTTCTTGTCGGCTATCATTGCTTGAATTGGAACATCCCCTGACAATGAGGATTTGGTCTCCTTCCAACTTGCTGAGTAATTTCCATTGCACCAACATAAAAGTGGTCTCAACTGGGCCGCAGTGTGGTAATCTTTCAGGCAGGGGAGAGCCATTCCTCCCTTGTTTTTCCCCAATTGAAGTGTTTTATACCGTATCCTTGGTCGTTTACCCTGCCATAAATATCTAGGGATAATCTTGTCCCATTCAAAAAATTGCTTTTCAGGAATTTCTATCGGAAGTGTCTGGAAAAGGTAAAGAAGTCTAGGTAATACAGTATATTCAATTTTACCGACACTATTCCTGATTCCAGACCTAAGAAAGGAACTAAATTCCATCTAGCAATGTCTGTTTTAATTTTAGTATTCATTGCATCATAATTTGCAGCCCAGAGTTTATCTAAATCTTTGGGTTGAGATACTCCTAAATATTTCATTGAATTTGCTTGCCAATCTAAATTATAGCGTTTGATAACATCATGTGGAGGATTGTAATTATATAAGAGGACTTGTGTTTTCTGTATGTTCATTTTATAACCAGAAAAAGAACCAAACATTGTAAAGATGCCATCAATGTGGGAAATGAAACAGAGGGATTGCTAAGATAAATCAACACGTTGTCTGTAAAAAGTGAGATCTTATTTTCACTATCCCCTATCTTTATTCCTTTTATGTAAGTATTCTGCTTGATCCATTGACTTAATGGCTCAATGAACAGAGCGAAGGGGAGAGTGGACACCCCTGTCTAGTTCCTCTTTTAAGAATGAAAGCATTTGATTACCATTTATTTTAACTCTAGCCAAGGGTTTGTCATATATGCTTTTGAAAATATTTACACATTTTTTATGGAATCCAAATGATTCCAAAACCTTGTATAAGTAACACCAACTTACAGAGTCAAACGCCTTTTCAGCGTCTAGGCCAAAAATTATTGCCTCTACATCATGTTTACATATGTGTCTCGTAACAGAGAGTACGGCGTATATTGTCCTGAGTTTGTCTGTCTTTAATAAACCTTGTTTTGTCATACGAAATCAGATTTGGTAGTATAATCTCCATCCTCCTTGCCAATTTGGATGTGTATATTTTATAATCAACATTTAAAACTGATATTGGTCTATATGAGCCACAATTGCTTTTGTCCTTCCCCTCCTGAAATAATTGCTTTCTGCCAAGTAGGTGGTATTTGTCCATTTTCCATTACCCAGTTGAAGGTTTTAAGCATAGTAGCTATGAGCTGTTCCTTAAATGTTTTGTACCATTCAGATGTAAATCCGTCGGCACCTGGTGATTTACATAAGAACATAAGAACATAAGAAATATACAAACGAGAGGAGGCCATTCGGCCCATCGAGCTCGCTTGGGGAGAACTTAACTAATAGCTCAGAGTTGTTAAAATCTTATCTAGNGTTATCAGGAAGACTATTCCATACTCTGACTACACGCTGTGTAAAGAAGTGCTTCCTTAAATCCAGTTTGAAATGTTCTCCCGCTAATTTCCACCTATTTATTAACCTTAAGTCTAGAAATCACAAAACGTATTTCCTCCTCTGTTATATTTAATGTGAGCATGTCATTTTGTTCTTGTGTCACTGGTGTAAGTTTAATAGACTGTCAATTTCACCATCTCTTTGATATTGTGGCCTAGAGTATAATTGTTTGTAGTAGTGTTCAAATTTGTTTTGAATTTCGGTTAGTTTATAGTGAATTACTTTAGTTAGAGGATCTTGTATTTTGTAAATAGTTGAGTCTGCTTCCTGTTTACGCAATTTTCTTGCTAATACTTTCATAGATTTACTTTCGGTTGCATAATATTTCTGTTTCAAGAACAATAATTCCTTCTGTATTTCTTGAGTATATAAATTATCAATCCCCTTAATTTACTTAATTGATTTTCTTCATTTACTAATTGACTTGGTGTCTTTCCTCCTTTTCCTGCTGTTTCTGTAGATCTTTTAGCTGAGATTGCAACATACAAGAGTTTCTTGTCTTAGTCTTTTCAGGTAGGAGGAAATTGCAATAACCTTCCCCCTCCACACTGCCTTTCCTGCATCCCAGAGAATTGATGGTGGTACCTCGTTATTATCATTGTACTCCAAATATGTCCTGATCTCTTCTTTAATATTAGCTTTAAATTGGGGGTTATTAATCAAGCCTGAGTTGAATCTCCATAGAGTGGATTTCCGATTATTACTTAGATAAAAGGAAATAAATATTGGGGCATGATCTGAAATATCTATAGTACCAATACTGCAGTCAACTATTCTGTGTCTGTCTTTATTGAAAATCAAAAAATAATCTAGTCTGGAGTAAACATCATTTGGGTGTGAGTAGTGTGTGTATTCCCGTCCTGTCTGGTGGCCCATATTGTACTTATATTAGCGGCACTCTGAAACACTACCTGTTAAAGGGGCTTATATGATAAAGCTGTCACTGAGTGTTTCTGCGTGTCTGCAAATGCTGACTCTGTTACGAACAGGCGCTCACCAGTCTTCCAGTCTCCCCAGCCCCATGGTGGACGAATACACTTGCAGTATACAGTGTTTTTTCAGTGGAACACTGTGGCCAGTTGTGGAACGGAGCCCTGAGACACTCTCTGTCTCCTGGCCGTGGCACCAGGCCCGGCACATTCCGGCACATTCCTTCACCACCACTGCAAACCGAATCACCCACTAGTGATGTTGATGTGTGGCTGCAAAGATTTTATGCATCAGTCTTTGGCAGTGGAGTATTAAAATAACTTAAATATGGAGAAGGTTTTCAAAAAGGACTTCCATCCATCCATCCATCCATCCATCCATCAATCACAGTTTATCCAGTATATGGTCACTGTGTCTGTACCCTGGTCAATTTCAATGCTTCACCTAATCTGCAAGTGGTAACAAAGGACAAACTGAAACATGTTTATGCACAGTTAGTATTTATTTGCTAAATGTAACTGGATGAAATGAAATGTTAAATGTATAATATGAAAAGATTTCAGGATCCTGCCACTGAGTTAATAGTACCAACACCTTTGGCAGAAGTCAGATATTGTAGTCAACTTCAGAGTTGTAGTCAACTTCAGAGTTGTAGTCAACTTCAGAGTCTTTCTTTTTTAACTTTCGGATTTTCCCCTCGCTCTCTAGCACAGAGATATACTTCAGTCTCAGGGCCACAGATGTTCAGTATTCAAGTCCAGAGACTGATCCTTAATGTTTTGTTTCATGGTTGATTTTGAGGTATGTTTTGGATCGATGTTTTGCTGAAATGTCCAACCTCTTTTCAACTTTCAATTTCTTCACCAAGTGAAACATCAGCTTGTTCATTTTGTTGACATTCAGGTGAATCATTCTGGCTTCCCCTGAAAATATTTCCCATGCCACTCGCCACACGGCTCCGAAGTCGAACATATCCACCCCCACGCTTAACGGCTAGCAAGGTGTTTTTTCTGAAGTTTCACATGCTTTTCTGCAGATGTGCTTTTTGTGGTTTTAGCCATAAAGTTCAGTTTTTGTTCGTCTGTCCACAACTCTCTGATCCACAAAGTTTCTGCCTTATCAAAGTGTTGTTTTTGAACTTCATTCTCTTTTTATGAGGTCATAAGAAAGGTTTTCTTCTAACAACTGTCGCATATGGCTCTTTTTGCATAAAGACCATTGTACTGTGGACCACCGCACCACTGTCAGCTAAACCTTTGTGGGTTCTGCTTTGCATATTTGGCCAATAGTAGTTCTATTAGAGATTTTCTTAAGTGCATACATGGTGGTTGTACCAATAGGTCTCTATAAGCGAGAAATCCAGGATATGAAAATATTGTGTCCCTGTCAGTCTCCCCCACAGGAATGTCCACCCACAATGACATGCCACTAAGTTTCAAGCTGCGTGTGGGATTGCAGTCAACTTAAAAACAGGACAAAACGTAGCCAGATTTAGGTCAAGAATGACCCTTGCTGTAGTGTCTCCTCGAGCAAGAATAAGTAAAAATAAACATCAAATTACACTAGTGGCCAAAATTGTGGAAACAATTTGCATTTTTAGCATTACGCTTTGAAAATATCTACATGATATCATCATCATGATAACAAGATCAAAAAATGTTTACGAATATCATACATTGGATGATTAAATAAAAAACTGGAGCAACAGTTGAATAAAATTCTGGAACTTCTAAAAAAATGGAAGTGTTTCCACAATTTTGACCACTAGTGTACTTTAGCCAAAAGCCCTTATGGACAGGTACAGTATAACAGTGTCCTTTTATAAAAGTGACGTCTAAGTGACTGAAAATCCGTGAGGGTTTGTTCTGAGACTGTGGGACTTTGATGTGCTTTGAAGTGGTTGAAATTTGATTGGCAGGTGAGTTGAAGAGTCTCTGATGTGCGCTTCCTGCTTGATTTAACAGGATCTGAAGTGAACTTTAACGGGGACATCCTCCATATTTGTCTGTGTAAATTAAGCAGCCATCCCAGACAGTGGGTTGTGTGTAGTGGCTGTGGCTGGGTTTTAAGGGCCTCCTTGCTGGATGACGATACGCCTGAGATTTTTCGCTTACTACCTTGAGTTCAACCAGTAATGTCTAGTTTGATATAATTTATGATAAATCTGTTTTCATGCCACCTTACTCTGAAGTCTAATGCTCCTACATTACATAATCCTTTTATTCTGTTAATTAGGTATTCTTGGGTATGTATAGTAGAGAAAGACAAAGTAATGTAGAAAAATATCTCGTAAAAATGGGCCAAAAAGAATGAGGCAAATTATCCAGTCAAAAAGCATGGTAAGTTAGTAATGTGATTAACATACTCATTAGTACTGGGCGGTTTGAGTAAAAAAATGTATCAAGTTCACCCTTACTGTGGCAGTAAGCGTTGATATCAGTACAATATGTTTACGAATATTTTTAAACATATGTTTTTATTAATTAGGTTATCATAAAAAAAGGTTTTATATTCAGTTTGAAGCCAGATATGAAAATTTTCCTTTTTTAGAAACAAAATATGGCCTGTCGATGCACCAAAGCAAAGTGAGACGTACTGTACTGTGGGGACCCAAGCTGGATCTGCTGTGGTGCTCCTCTTACGAGGAGATGCAGACAGTGCAGGTATCACTCTGAGTTCCACCTGGTTTTGAAAGGTGGCTTGGTTCCTCTCCCTCCTGTCGCTATAGACACCATACGTGCTCAGTGAGGCCTGGACAGGTGTAGCGGGCACTGGTTAGTATGGGAGATGTGTGTTGAGGTGGTGTTTATGATTGGGGATACCTGACTTGGCTGGGCACTTTAAAATGGAATGTTTGACTTTTTTTTGCAGAAACCAGTGACCATTAATAGAAACAGAGACCTTTCGCTGACAAACTGAGTGAAGAATCTAAGCTAGATTGGTATGTGCACACATAAAAACATTGGACCTTGGCTTTTCATGAACTCATGTACACAGTATATAAACCAAGTGTGGAATAAATAAAGCATCAGGACCCTGGTACAACTCAAACGTACAAGAACATACTGTATTTCCTCTACAGTCCTTGATTGAGAAAAGGTTTCAGTTTGTTATTCAGCTTTAGTGACCTGAGATAATTAAATAGTTCATATCACACAGTTCAGCATTAGTACAAAGATAAGCTTTTTAATAAACGGCTTGCGTTATGTTTGTTAGTCATTCGCTTTGTACTGTCATTAAATGACTCATAGACAAATAACTGGCCTTAAAATAACAACCTTATGAGTACACTAAGGAAATGCCATCATGGGATGACTTCTGTCTTATTCATAATGATAGTTCACTGCAAGTCAGGCTTTTTTCTCAACAAATATTCAATCATCATCCACCTGCATATCCAAAGCAGGGTTATCATGGACTTGATGTCTATCCCAGGAAAGATGGGGCCTGTCCATCACAGGGCGAAAGGCAGGGGACACCCTGGATGGGATGCCAGTCCATCACAGGGCACAAGGCAGGGTGGATCCATTTTTCCACATTTATTTCTCTGCAGGTCAGTCTGTGGCTAGTGAAAGGGTCGGGCTGGAAGAAAGCTATTCAGTGGGTCAGGCCTCGGATCGTCGTTGGACATGCTGCTTTGTGAGGTGAGTGTCTCCTGCTTAAAATCCTGCTTTAGTGGCCCCCAGATTTTGGGTCTGGACAGCAGCTCTTTAGCTGATTATACTTGCTGCCTCTTGTCAACTGTAAAACAATTTGTCAATTTTTTTGTGGTGAAAACAAATGTATATATATGATGCCTGCATGATTAATCGCAATCTCGATTCATATTACTATGCGATCATATTCTAGGACAACGCGATTAATCGTTTTTCAATTGGGATCTCGATTCTTACTCCTGTACAAACTCATTCTTACTTAACACCCATTCCATCGTGTTTGCATCAGTGGAGAGATCAGTTGCATCAAACCAAACACTTCTTATTTCTTCCTAAGCTGTATCAATAAATCACAGCACTGTACTGTATGTGTTACACCACATTACAGACAGAGGGAGTAGAAAACCAGGTCTGATAATAAAGAGCAGATGAGGTCTAAGTTTCTGTTTATCATGGCTTATACGGAAATTAGTTGCTCATTAGAAATCAGGAGTGTGCCCTTTCTGTTCTGCAATGTTTATTTGACAGTCCCATTTCAGTATCAATAATATTGCTAGTAGTGCACTAATAGTGCACTGAAGGCGATAACTAGCAAAGCCACTACCTGTTGAGCAGAGGGTTGCCGACAGTGAAGCTTGCTGATCCTTCCGGCAGAGATTAGCAGAATGATGTTTAATAAAAAAAGTTATAAACATTTTACAGCCCAGTACTTTGAGAACCAGGGGTGCCCAACTCCAGTCCTGGAGGGCCAGAGCACTGCACATTTTTGGGTTTCCCCTCATTTAACACACCTGGTTCAACTCCTTGTGCTATTTACCACACAGCTCTTGAGCTGAATCATTTATACTGATATATTGTGCCATCTTCAAAAGGACAATATGTAATGCATAATAATAATAATAATAATAATAATAAGAAGAAGAAGAACAAGAAAAAGGATATATAGATAATATTAATACTAATAATAGAGAGATGTACTGCTGAAAATCGAGAGAATGCCATGTTGTCGATCTGATAATTATGGAAACGTCAGCAGCAATGACTCATTAGACAGTACTGAGAGCCAGGACCCTTACATGTCACCCTGTCCGTGCAGATGGTGAGAACCTGCCCTGTAAATCATACCAAAGGGTATATGTGATCTCCCCACACTGAAGGGTATACAGTATGTGAAACTGCATGGGAGGCCGTGCCATTTGTTCTGTCCCATTTGATTAGACTTTCCAGTTAATGGCATGTCAGGCCTGCTTTGAATACATTAGCGTGCCGTTATGGTTTACATGTATTACACAGCGTATTAAGCTGTAGGTGTTTATCTTCCTCTGTTTCATCTTAGCAGCAGTGAGATTTCAAACAGCTGCGGCCCAACCACCGCATGACCTCTTGCATCAACCGGTGAAATGCTGCCGAAAATAAAAGCAATCTAGGCCAGTGACTGAAAAGCAGCTCCCAGTCCAACATCCCCAATGCGCATCGACAGCCTCAGCCAGTACCTGTCTGTGTCCGGGACCCTAAGCCAGAAAATGGAGCCACGACCAATCAGATATCTCCAAGAAACACTGGACTGAAAACTGCACAGACAGACATCAGCTATTGGAGGGCACTAAAGGGCAAGATGAAGCGGCAGAGGAGCCTGTCCTTAGATGACGGTGGGCAGAGAGACTTGGTCCTCACCTCCAGCTCAGTAGCTGAGTGTGAATGTACACCAACTACTGCACCATCAGCACACAGAATCTGCAAATGCGAGATGGGGCAGTGAGGAAAGAGCAGCTTCTCGAGAAGTTAAAAGTAGACTCAATGAGTATTACATGCCAGTATGTGTGGGGTTTGGGGAAAAAAGGCCGTTAGCGATTTTCTGCCAGTCTTAGTCATTTTGGTCTTTTATGCAATCATATGCTTCACCCCACTCAATATCACATCTACTGCCGTTTAATTTGTGGTAAATTAGGGGGGAAAAAACAGGGATTCAAGTAAAGGGGGGGAGTTTTTTTTCTCCTTTTTTTTGACGAAACTCGAGTCACTTTTTCAAAACACCAAGAACCACGTCTGTTGGAAGTGAAAGTTTCCCCTGTGGAGCTGCAGCTGTAGTCAGCCAGACGGTCCCATTATGAAATAGTGCAAAGTCAGGCCTGTTATAAAATGCACAACAAATAACACAGGCCTACAAAAAATAAAAAGTAAAAAAAAATCAGGTGCCAAGGTTTTTTGAATAGATTTAGGGTATTTTGAGGGTGCTGAATTCAAAATTCCCATTACTTTTGCTGAATTGGTTCTAGTTTTTGAGATAATGGACATCCATGAAAATAATGCATTCCCCCAATGCGACTTGTGTGTGATAACAAATGCAATAGCTTTTGGTCTGTCTTTTGACTCTTTAACAGTGTCTTAGGTAATGAAATGAATCATGAAGCGTTGAAGGAAAGTCTGAAAATAAAATTAGAGTAAAGTTCACATGTGCATGTTTGCATGTTCATTTATTGCTGTTGTTACTGTGGTGGTGAATATTTACCCAGATCAAATCTGCCAAGTCCTTCCAAAGGAAGAGTATCACGGGAACACCTGTCTGGTATTTATCCAGAAATGGTTGAAATGCTCGTTATAGGGCCATGAAAAAATGTAGTTTGGCCAAAAGAAGGGGATCCATTCGGGCTTCACAAATGCAGTCAGAGGAAGATGTCCATGGGTTTTTCACCTATTTTGACTTCACCAGGTCCAAATATTTCACAATAGAGGGCTGGACTTCCAATGCCTGTTCGACAGCTGGCAAATTTTCGAGCCCCCAATGGCCACAGAAAGGTAGAGGGAATCTTGAGGATGATGTTGCAGCTGTGAAGTCCTCTCTTCTGGCTGGTAGAGAGCACTTTCTCCACCATCCACACTTCACAACCAGTCTTGAATGAGTTGTGAAGGGTATGTAGGCCACAACTTCCTATAATTACTAACTGTGTCTCGGCAAATTGCTCACCACAGTGTGAAAGTCATCATTGGACGTATAGTAGTGATGTCGGCTAACTGTTTGCAAAGCCCATAGCACTTCTGCTTTCAGAGTGTCGGTTGAGGAGAATGTACTGAAGGCACTGCTTGTCGTGGGATCCGGAGACACTGCCAAAGCAGGTGTAGGCCCATCTGTAGAGGTTGTACTTGCAGGACTGGCAAACAACTGAATGGGGACAATTGTTGTCCGACAATCGACAAAACGCTTGTGCTTCTCTCCCCTGATATGTGAGTCGATGGCTTTAGAGCCCATTGTTGCCAGTTTGTTTTATTATGTAAAATAATATGTTAATTCATAAATCAAAATCAAAGTCCAAAGGTATTTTTAGGCACGAATAGAGAGGCCAGTGATGTGGCATGTTTTATTAACATGTTTTTTTTTTTGAGTAAATGGTCACAAATAATATTTTTTAAATGCAGACACTCCACATACATACAGTTCAAGTCCATAAAATGCATTGTTCTTGGAAATTGCAAGTTAATTGTTAATTAATTCTATCCATATATTTATTCAAAATTTCTTTATCTATTTGCAGCTATCCAGAGTTGCTTTAAATAAGTTTAATGAAGGTGACAGTGCTTGTTATAGCTTAAATGCGTAGTGATGTGTTAACCAAATAAAACATAAATATAGAGTAAGACAATTCTTGAGTGAAATTGCTAAATTATATAAGAATATGTTATTAAGGTAGAATATTATTCTGGGAAGTAAACAGGGCAGCACAGTCACTCATTAGGGAGACATGTGGTCGCATGCGCTGGTTTTCACGCTGGTTGTGTGTGGTTCTCCCAGTACTCCTGAAACATGCAGTCAGTGCTTCCCCTGCAGTAGGCCGCCGTCTTGGTGCTGTCTGGAATAGGCCACCCCTCCTCCGAAGCCCTGTATTGAATGAGCGACAGTAGGCCGCCGTCTCGGTGTTGTCTGGAATAGGCCACCACTCCTCTGAAGCCCTGTATTGAATGAGCGACAGTAGGCCGCCGTCTCGGTGCTGTCTGGAATAGGCCACCCCTCCTCCGAAGCCCTGTATTGAATGAGCGACAGTAGGCCGCCGTCTCGGTGCTGTCTGGAATAGGCCACCCCTCCTCCGAAGCCCCATATTGAATGAGCGAATGTCTGTTCCTGTGATAAAGGTGCTTGTGTTGCAGCATTGATTCTGGCTTTTGCCAAGCAGTATATTTGCTGTGAAAAATCAATCTGGCCACCACAGAGATCGGAACTGCTTGTCTGTTTGCCAAAGTTTAGCTTTTTTTCCACTTCAAACTTTTTTAGGGCAGAAACTTTACAAACTAAATAGGTAACAGTGCAGAGTAAGCTTGCTTTTTATCGATATGCTAAAATAGGTTTTTAAAAATTACAAGTTTGACTATATATTATGTTTATGACAATAATTGTGTTAAACCAGGCAATAATTGACGTTACACTGTCGTAATCATGTGCTTTCATACATCTTCAAAGCTCTGTTTCTGAACTGCATCCACAAGAAAAAAACCTGAAACTGTTCCATTCCATTTGGACTAGTGTGGTGCTGAGGTATCGTCCACAGTGCGGCTGTGCTCAGGTTCTTATCCCTGAGGTGCCTCACTGTGTGGTGGGTGCAGCAACATGCGGTCACCATGTGCTCCTTACCACATTCTTTTACATACTATTAGAATCTCCATCAGTTTTCTCCAAATTGTAATTCAGACAATAAAAGTTTGTAACCTGAGATTTTGCACGGGAGTGTTCATTTGAAATACAATGGTTTTGTAACACTTTTAAATGAATGTGTTGCACGAGTTTTCAGATTTTGATTTTGATATGTGGAGTGAGGGGTAAAGCAGGGAAAAAAACTGGGTGATATACAGTACATTATTTACATTTACATTTACATCATTTGGCAGACGCCCTTAGCCAGAGCGACTTACATAAGTGCTTTAAGACTCCACAATGAATTTTTCCCGATACTAGCTCAATAAAAAACCAAGGCTATGAATACCATCGATCTAATACTCTG